CATCCTCCATTTTGTGATCTGATGCAGTCATCCTCCATTTTCAAATGTTAATGTCCACATAACAACCTGGTCTTTAGTACCTAAGTATGATGGTAACAGTTGGGAAATTATGAATTAGAGAATAAAGCAAAGCTATTTTCCCACAGGCAAAGGGTCTTGCTCTTACCTCAGAATATTTTCCTCTGTAGTTACTTAAACTTCGTTCCATTCTTCTCAAACGATGAATTAACTGTTCTTTGCTGAGACTGTCTGAATTCCCGAGTGAGTCTTCAGCTTCACTCTCCATGTCAGAAGGTGGATCAAAAGGGGTGGAACACTCCAGGTCAAGCCGATTCAGGGACTCTCTGGAAGATGTGCGTACCAAGGATTCTTTAGAGGAAGATCGGAACAGGGATTCCTTTATGGGACTTCGAAACAAAGACTCCATAGAAGGTACCCGGAGCTGAAGCTTCTGTGCAAAAGACTGTGAGTCACTGGACTACAACCAAAACAAAACAGGATGTATTGGTTATTAATGGGTACTCTTATGCATCCATTATTCCCTGTAACCAGCTATAATCTATCAAAATTAACAAAGTCCATTTATATTCCTGACATTTTACATACTACGTTGCTTTCTGAAAGTAAAAGTACTCCGTTTGTTTCTGAAAAATAGCTGACCCAGGAGTCAGAGGACTGGGATGTAGTCCCAGGGCTGCCATCTAGCAGTGGAGTAAACCAACAAGTCACTTACCTTCAGTTTACATTTCTATGAAAAAAGAAGAAAATTATACCATCCCAGGCAACCTCAAGGTGAGCTGTGAGATCCATGAGGGCAGGGACCATCTATACACAGGAGGCTTTAAATAGTTTGTGAGGAAACGTTTCTATTCCAATTTTCCATGAAAATTTTGAAGCCCCTTATGCTGGGAAGTATGTGAGTGAATTCAAATGACTTTACCTGGTGAGACTGGTAGACCAGTGACACCCAGCTCTGCCCTATCTGCCAGTATGTCTACTGTGTCTAATAACAATAAAATTAAGTATTAAAGGGTCTAACTAGTGTCTCTCTGCAATGATCAGTAAGATTGATGTTTTAAAATAATGATAATCAAGGGCTTACTGTTAATTTGTTTGAACAATGATACCTAACAATGATCCTAAAGTACAGCAATATTCAACAAACTGTTTTCAGCAGAATTCTTATGTTCAGGTCACAGTACACAGTATTAAACTGAAGTTTCCTAGAAACTCATTGTCATTAGTGCAACAACATGATCACCTGTGAGTCTCAATGATGCCAGGCATGAAATACTAACAAGAGACTGAGGTCATATACAGGCAAAAGGTACCCCCACCCCCCCAAAAAACACCTTTTTATTACACAACTCTAAAAATCAAAGCAAACACTTTTACTCAGATTTAGAGCTTTAATAATCATACGAGGTAAAATGAGATTGATATAATGTGGTAACACACCTCGCCCCATCCCTCATCTGCACAAAGAGCTTTATCAGAAGTTGTTTATGATGCTAAAAACTGGAAGCAAACTAAATGGTCACCACTAAAGAAAACACTTATAAATTATAGTACATGGAAGGAGACATATTATCACATGAGAGA